TTCAATTCTCTACAAACCGGCATATTCAAAATATCTTCGTCGATTTGCAAAAGATCATTAAGTTCGGCTTAACAAGTATGACTAGAGAAAAATGCGACCTGGAGATCATTAAGCTAACTTTTTTCGAAAAAACGAAAAAACCCATTTTTCTAAAATAGTGCGTTTTACAGCTCTTTCAATTCTCTACAAACTGGCATATTCAAAATATCTTCGTCGATTTGCAAAAGCTGGTTTTTAGCTCGAGTTTATTTGATACAATATTGTGTCATCGTCCTCGTCGGACGAATTCTCGTAATCAGAAAACTGTAAAGCATCTTCTACAAGATTAAGATAATTATTTGGTGGTTGATTAATGTCATGGATAGCCGTCTGATTCAAGCAAAGGTGCCACAAAGTGGCAGCGATGTGACTGCGGCAACCGACAGTTCGTTCGCCAGCTGTACAAGTGCAAAACCATCCGGAAATTGGATTTAGAATGCCGTTGTTATATTCAATATATGTGTTATAAAACACACTTTATCTGACATTACTGCACCTTCATTCAATAAACACTATAATTCATTATTATACTTTAACCATTTAAGATATTCAAGACGACACTTGGAATCACACATATATGAATCGAGAGAAACATTTTTCAAATATCGAGCAGACAAGAACGCCGCTTGTTCGAGTACATAGGATACTTTTCGCTTCTTACGCTTACCGTCAAATCTCCGATTACAACCAACACAGCTTTCATGCATTATCCAGTAGTATAAGGCAGTCGATGGAAATGCGGAGAATATTGATAATATTCTTATACGGAGGAACATAAGGATTTTATAAGATTTCGATAAGAATTCGGCAGACAGCTCAAATAATTAGTTTAGAAGAATCCATAAGATTTTGATAAATTAACATATGAACTTTTGTTTACGTCAAATAAATGGTCTGACTGTATGTACACAGACTGAGTAACTCTGCATGGTATGAGATCCTATGAAACACAGGAAAGCGTTTTAGGATCCTATGAAATCGCAGGTAATCTTATCATGAAAACTTATGTGATTTCTGTTGTAGGATAATGTGGTAAACCCCTCTCAGAACGGAAGGGCGTGGTTCGCTACTATGTCCCAGTGGATCAAACTTTTATGATGCCCTTCAATTAGGGGTGGCCTTCTAATCCAATCCTTCAAACAAAATTTTCTAAAAGTTTTGGAAATTTGTACAAGCTTAAAAGAATGTTTTTTTCTTCGAGAAAATGTCGAAGTTATTCTAAATGTAAAAGTATTTGCATTTTTTATTTACATAAGAATGTAAAACAAAATGATAATTTAATAATTTCCTAGATCTTGTGTACAGAATTCAGTCACTCAAGATCTTGAGTTCTTGAAATTTCTTTAACTAAGATCTTGATTTAAGAAGTTTCATTAGCGTGAATCGATTACACTTATCTATATTCGATTTCAAGGTTATTCATGAAAGGGATAACGGGGACGAGGCATACTCTCTACTTCTGTCACAGCTCCCTGTTGCCAAAATCCGAAAACTCCAAGAACGAAGTCTGAAAACATGCGTAGTTTCACGGTTTCTAGAAGCAAAATGCTCAAAACGTTTTCGAAAAAGTGGCGTGATCGTATCAGAAGGTCAGAGCCTTCTAATATGGATTTCGCAGAATTGTCTCAGAGATGGCCTTCTATTCTGGGTGGGAGAAGCGGAGATTACTTCTTACTCCTACCCTACATTACCTTACACTTGGAAACCTATCAAATGCTGTGAATTCTTATCTAGGATTTTGTCAGAATTATATTGAAAAATGTTGTTGGTATTTTGCTATTCAAGAAATGTTTGACCACTGACTAGTGGATGATAACGGGTGGACCATAATGAATGACCCTCTCAGTATTTTGCTTATAACTTTGGTTTTGATTGGTTTGTTGATTGAGATTTGTTTTCGAGACTCGATGTCTTTTTTAAAAGATGCGCTACGAAGTTCTCTATAAAATCATACCTAAACTATAATTTCAGAACTTCAATCAAGAAAACTAAGCCAATTAGATGAAAGTCGAAAAAAAATGTAAATTTTCAAATTCAAAAATGATTTCTTCTGTTAATACACAAAGAGATATTATTTATACGCGAAACTTGTAAATATAAACGAACATAAGAAATTGTCTGCCTGACAGTGGTTAAAGTAAAAGGAACACACGATGATACTAACAGACAAGAAAAAGAAATAACAGAATAAAAGTAAATTCTAAAAAGGAGAATGAGAGATATGGGTTATTTCATTTTTATTTTCGTTCTTTGACTGATACATCCTTCTAGGTGTATCTCTAATTCTTCTTAAGCCATTTTTAGAATTTACTTTTATTCTGTTATTTCTTTTTCTTCTCTATTAGTATTCTAAAATCGTCTTAAACGAAACAAAAATAACTTGTGTTTTACCGATTCTTCCTTGATTCAAGTCTATCCAAAATTTTTCCGAGTCCAGACCAGTCCATGTTCTTGAAAGTTTTAGTCCAGTCTAGTCCAAGTCCATAACATTCGAAAAATTTGAGTCCAGTCCAGTCTAGTTCATACGGAGCTCTGTTAGGGGACATATCAACTCAAATCAAAGTTTTTTCTAGTAAAGAAATTGAAAAAGAAGAAGATTTTGAGTAAAAGAATTATGAATTATTACTATAAAGGAAAGAAAAGAATTGTGCAAAAGCAAACGATTAAATAAAAGCACAAAAATATTCGTGCATTCGATAGGTAGTTTTTTTAGGAACAAGAAATCATTTATAACGTCGTCGTTTTCCTCCCGTTTTTTCTTGGCTCTACTCGGTTGCTACTTCTCCTCATTTCTTATGATAAGAAGAAACTGGCCTAACCAGTTATCGTCGTCAATAAACAAATGTTTTATCACATTCAAAGGTCCCTGAGGTTCAAGAGATTCTTTTGGTTTAGTATGCCCAGGGACCTTCAAAAAGTCATCGAAATTAACTCTAATCGGATCCTTGCATTTTTAGATGAAAAGATAAATGCTTCGTCCAACTCTCGTCGAACAGTTTCTTTAGTTCCATTGAGTAAGTTTTCAACTAGACTGATTACTTGGTCCTAGTAACGGTTAGTCAGCCGTTGTAAAATGAGTTTCAGATCTATCAAGATTTCGTCCTCAAGCGTCAAACCTTTGATCGGACGGGCATTCGTTTGAAAATAAAACTTTTTCTTTCTCTCTCAGTCTTATGAAGTGAAAAAGTAATAATTCTCATCAATGTCCTGTTTTATTTCTTAGATGTTGTGAATTTCACTTTTATACTTCTTATTGTTCAATTTTCTTAATTATTTATCCACTGAAGGTGTATAAAACACAGAAACGTTTAGCTTGAATAAATAAATTTTAGTATGAGATAAAGTAAAAATGACTTATCTATACAATAAACTCGTAAAAACGGCTTATAAACTTTTCCCGAAGTATCTCCTTTTTTTAATAGATACTTATTATACTACAATGTGACTATATGCGAAGAAATTCTTGGTCATATCATATTCACATTAGATTTCTTTTGCTTGGTGGGAATTTACTGGAATTCTAGTCAGTCAGGTTTGATAAAGAATGTTGTATCTGACAAGGGAAGGTACTCAACTGTCCCACCACTTTTGGACTAAATCTTAGTGGATTATAGGTAATCAAGGATGCTGATTCCGAATATCACAAAGATTTTTTTGACCGCGTTTTTTGGAAAACTAGTTTTCCAGAAACTCCAAAAAATAATCAAAACTTTCCTTAATAAGACCTGATTGTAGCCTGCACATTTCTGATTGAAATGAGACATCTCCCAGCTCTACAGGATCTTTCTTTGCAAAGTTATAAAATTCACACGACAGCCCTAAACATTCAATGTCAGCTCAAAGCTACAGAAATAGGAAGAAATTAATTTAGGGCTTTTTTATTAGGGCTCGTGTAAATTCTATAACTTTGCAAAGAAAGGTCCTGTAGAGCAATGTCTCATTTCAATCAGAAATGTGCAGGTTACAATCATCAGAAAGAGTTTGATTATTTTTTATAGTTGCTGGAAAACTGGTTTTCCAAAAACCGGGATCTCTAGAGGTTCGTATGCAAAAATCATTGTGATATTCAGAATCAGTACCCTTGATTACCTATAATCCACTAAGATTTAGTCTAAAAGCGGTGGGACAGTTGGGGTCTTCCCTCGTGGATTACGAAAGCGAGATAAGTTAAAGCTTCTTCGAGCAAATTTTTTAAATTAATTTTATTCTATCCGATTAGATCTATCAGAGATGTGATCTATTCGGAGTTGGTTCTCTCAACAATTGCGATATAGTTGTATTGCTGTCTTTTATTTTTCAGCTGATGATTTTAATTTGAAAAATAATCATATACTTTTCTTAGAATAGTCAGAAATTAATAAAACAATAATCACACTTAAAATAATATAGAACAATTTTATTTAAAAAGAAAGCAAAAACATATAAAAAATAGTTATCACATCGAATATTTTTAGAATCTATTTATATGAATATTTAATTCGAAATTGTTCACAATATTTCTTTTTTGGACCACCATTTGTTAATAATCCGGTATATTCATATTCAAGTCTTTCACATAATTTCTTTTTATACCAATCATCCATTAATAATTCAACATTCATTTGTGTTAAAACAAGTGCTACTAACATTTTTATTTCATTTATAGCCCAATAACGTCCAGGACACATTCGTTTACCACAACCGAATATCATTATTGATGGTACTGTTTTCTTTTCTTGTTGTTTAATAAATCGATCATATTGAAATGTATAGGGTTGAGGAAATAATTGAGGATCAAGATGTTTTATTAATGACGGATACGTTAACAAATCATTTTTACGCAAACCAATTATTGTACCATCATTACAAGTTAATGATACATTTTCTGATGCTTGTCGTTGTGTTAATCCCATAAATGTTCGTCTTAATGTTTCATTAATACAGCTATCTAGTATTTGTAATTTATTTAATGTTTCTCTTTCAAATAATCGACTTAAATCAATCGTATTTAATTCATTTTTAACAGCATATAATGCTTCTGGATGTAATAATATATCAATTAATGACCAACAAGCATTTGGTACAGTATTAACTATAGCAGCAAATAATAAAATACCATGAAATGAACCAATATCATGTTTAGTTAATAAATGTTTATATTCATCCGATGTAAATAATTCAATTCTTTCTTGTATTAATCTGGATTGATCTTGATTTATTTTTAAATTTTCAAATCGTTTAATATATTCATCACGTTTTTTAATAGATGAATATAAAAATAATGATTTAAATGGTATTTGCATTAAACATATAGGAAATGCTTTATTGAAATTTAAATATGATTGATAAAAATTTATTCGTTGTTCATTAACAAATGTTTTACCATACAATGTTGTTGTACCAGCATAAAACATTAATTCACTCATAAAATCGAATAAATTAACGGTAACTGTTGATACAGATGATTGAAGATTTTTTTTATTATCTTCTTTTATATGTTCCAATAAAGAATCAAAAATTGACTGATTTAAATTTTCTAATTCATTACCCATTAAAAATTGATGATATTGTTTTAACATTTCATGTTGTATATCTGTTTTTCTTATTTTAGTCCAGTCCATACCAAAACCATCCTTGTAAACTAATTCATCCAAAAACTCCATTGTTAATTTTGGATCTTTTATCAATGTTTTTATGAATGTTTCTTCATCATATAAAAACACATAACGCCTATTAAATAAATGTACAGTAAATAATTTACCATATTTTCGATATAATAATTGAATAAAATCTGATGGATTTTTTAGAAATGTTATACTAAAACCAAATATCGATAGAAAACTATCGATACATTTTGGTTCATTTGGTACAGAATTTAATAGATCATCCACACATTTTTTTAAAAATATATAATAAATTATTAATGGAATTATTATCGAGAATATGATAAGAAAAAATACCATTGTTTGTTTTGTGTGTGTTTGTACGTCAGCAGCTATGTCATCTTTTCTGATCTTTTATATATAATAGACAACAATATGAAAGAAAAGAGAAAAAATGTCACATGTTATTCTTATTTATTTTTGTTTCTCTTCTCTTATTATAATAACGCTAATCATATGAGAGAAAGGAAAAAGAAAACATAACATGCGATCATAAGGTAAATGTTTTCTTGTCGTACGAAACGAAGAAACTACGTATATTACGCGAAATTCTTAACATAAGTAAATCAAACCCTAACGAAGTAACCTACGTGAGTCATTGTCTAAATATTGTAAATTAACATTCCAAGCGATAAGTATATTCTCCTTCAAGTTTAGTATTGAAAAACTGATCTTTCCTGATCAAAGTGAACAAGTTAACCCGAGTATATATAATATATTACCCGAAACCAGAGCCCTGCGGGATCGGGGTCAAGCTTACGAACGGATTTGGGATTAAAGGTGCTGAACGGAATCGGGACTTTCTTTTTCCAATTTATCGGAAGAGACACATGCTGTATAAATGGTTCTATTATATTTTTTCTATGAAATTTTTTCCCTTGACTTTAGTCTAGGGTCTTACAGAATAGTTGTCTGTGTGCGTGTGTGCAAAATACACAAAAATGGCTGTCAGATATTCTATGGATAAGCGAATCACAAGAGGCAACAGTAGAAAATTATTTTTTACATAAGAGAGAAAATATTCAAAGAGATCATCTGAAATATTTACTGATGCAAAGGGGTGAACAGCCCAGCAACTCTTTTCTGTGGGCCTGGGCTAGATGTCGCCAGATAGCAGTCATCTGTGACAATACAAACAAAGTCGTCTACGGGTAATAAAATTGATAGTGTATTGGTATGAGGACTGACGACTAAGTGCATCCGCTATAGTGTCACTAAAACATATAGGATATTCAAAATTCGAACTGAAATTCATTGGATGAAAACTTTAGATTTAAATAAGCTTCAAATAACATTTCATTTCCCCATAATTCTTTGTTATGCTCAAGCGCAGCTACTGCGGGCTACGCTGAGGGGGGGGGGCGATCGGTGGGGACCGCAC